CCCCCCCCCCCCCCCCCCCCCGCCGGGATCCTGGAATGTGACAGCTGGAAACCACCCATGCCTTTGACTAACTGAAGAAAAACCAAAAGCAACCAAACAAAACCTGAAACAAAACAAACAAACAAAAAAAGGGTTCTTGGAGGTGAGTCTGGACCCTTTGAAATGGTGACTATACAGTGGAAGGTGACCAGGTCAGGGTGGTGCAGAGGGCAGCTGTGCTGAGAGCCTCGGGAAAGGAACAGTCCCTGGAGCCACCGTGCCCCAGCACTCTAACGTGAGCCTCAGGACTTCCTCCTTAAAGCCTGGCAGGGAGCTCGGTGGGAAGCCAACAGGTTTAGTGTTGATTCCAAACACTTGCTCACCGTGGGCTAGGTGCTCTTCCATTGACGATGTGTGAATTAATTCACTCAGGCTCTGCAACAAAGCCACCTACTTAGTGCCATATACCAGGAAGGAGGTGGAGTGAGGATTCCAAGCTGGACAGCTTGTCTCCAGGGTCGACACTTGGAATAACTACACATTACTGCCTCTCAGGCTGGATATACTCCCAAGCCACGACCAGCTCAACTGTTAAGTGGAATGCTCAAAAGATGGCTTCAGAGGCCACTCATCAGTATTGTGAGTGGACTTGAAGGGGAAGATGCTTGGATGAGTAGTTTGGAGGCTCATTGTCTTTGTTCTCTGTTTTTTTGAGACAGGGTCTCATGCAGCTTAGGCTGGCCTTGAACTTATTACGACCTTAAACTTTGGATCTTCTTGTCTTCCCAAGTGCTGGGGTTACAGACACAAACCACTGTGCCAGGTTCACGTAGTGCCAAGGATAAGACCCGAAGCATGATGTGTGCTAGACAGTACTCTACAACTGGCAACTGAGCTGCATCCTTGGTCATGAACACAGGTTTTAAAGAAGAAAGGCAATGTCACACACACACACACACACACACACACACACACACACACACACACACGTGGTTTCCAGAAGAAGAGACAGGGACACCAGTTCATACAAAGGGAGTTTAAACTGGGGAAAAGGCAAATCAACTGGTTTGGTACTCATAACCCACCTTCCCCTCCAGACCTATTCTAGCCTCCTGGAACCCTGCTCGCTAGTAGAAAGTTTTGGTGTCTTTAAAAACTCCGTATGTTATTATAAACGTGTTTGTTTTAATCCCAGGTGCGGGATATGGGGCTCCTATCCCCATAGGAGCAAACTATGTGCCTTGTGCGGGCTCTGAGAGGGGCTTTTTTCCAGCTGCAGAGAGTTTAATTCTGTGGACTCTGGAGAAGAACAAATGCCAGAGCCCAGAGAGAGAAAGGGGGCTCCGAGGGAGAAGGCTGCTACCTCCCCCCCCCACCACCACTGCTGTTCCTGGTTGCTGTTGATGCAGTTTGATGAGAACAAGTTGGAGATATCCTGAAATGAACTTTGGACTTGCCCCAAGGAACCCAACAACCCTAACCAGCAGGAAGTAGCTAAAGAGAACTATGCCCCTTTTCCCACACCAACCTTTTCCTCCTACCCAGTGCTGGGGTATTGGAAGGGACTGGGGTGGAGAAAGAAGGTAGAGGCATAAGAAATGCAAATAAAATAGTTTTAAAAAGTACTCCAACACTATCAGTGCATAAGCACTGCTCGGGACTGTATCAACAGCTTCATTACCTGTGACAATGCAGGTGAACCTGACATCACTGTCTTCAGACACAGCCCGGGACTTGAGCGTGGTCTCAAAGAGTGGCTGGGTCTCCTCTGTGAGCTGAGCAATGATGGAACAGAAGGTGCTCCTAGGGGAGAAAAAAAAAATCATTTAGAGTCCTCCCTACAAAATACACTCTGGCCTTGCCTTGCCTAAGTTTGAGTCTTACCTTGTTTGTCAGTCATTCTGTGGCCAAAGTTCCTAGGCATTCCTGGGAAAACCTTCATTCAAGAGGGCCTAGGCTCCCTGGCCAGGTTGGAGGTGGGTGCTAAGGGGTTGAATGGAACCTTGACCCCGGGCCATCCAGAAGGCAGGCAGCTGACAATTAGTTCAGGCTCCTGAGAACACCAAGCTGCCATCCTACATCTTCCCCATCAAGTTCTTACTGGGGGGTAGTGGGTAGCTGGCCTCACTCTCCATGCTCATCTCCAGGGAAGCCGGTGCATAGGAGAGACACACGCGTGGACGGGCCAAGCTTCAGAGATGAAGGCTGATCATAGCACCGCCACACCGAGGAAGGAAGAACCAGCCAGCCCTCAAGGCTTCAGAGGTCCTGAAGGCATGGAACACTACCCGAGAGTTCAGGCTCAGAAGGAAAGTGCCGGCACTTGTGAGCACAGGCCACGGTAGATGAAGAATGAGCTGGCAATGCCAGGGGCTTTGGCCCTGAAGGGGACTCTACTCTATGGACTGTCAAATGCAAGCCCCATGGCTCTGGCACTAGCAAGCCGGCTGTGATTTCTCCGCTCCATCCATCGACCCCCACATGCTGACGTGCAAACAAGGCTGGCAGCTGGAGAACTGCTTCCACAGACAGACTGGCTCCTGAAAAAGCCAGAACTCTGGGTTCCCTTGTGATAGAGTCCTTTTCGCAGAGCTCGGCTATATCTGCGGTCTTACTGTGTCTACCCCAAACTCAGCAGCAACCCTCAGGGCGTACAGTCCACTCCTCCCTGGGCACAGGAAACAGACCTCTGTGCCAAATCCTTTCATGGGCCAGCAAAGGCAGTGCATTCCCAGGCGTGAAGCTCAACCACATAGCCAGGTTGTATGGTACACAAGCAGTGCCCGGCCCCCACCCCTCCCTGGGGGCACACCCTTTGTGAGCAGCAGAGGGAAACATCAAGAGAAGCAGAAGGAATGGTGGAGAAAGACAAATGGCTCCAAGCTGCCTTTCCTTGGGCCTCCAGAAGAAGGGGTCACCCCCACATCCACATTTGCTTGCCTGGGACTCTTTTCCAGGTAGGGAGTGAGAGGTGTGGGAAAGCAAACAGAGGTTACCCCTACCTACTTTGCAGGGAGGAGGCTCCATGTCCAATGATCTTTTCGGTAGGCATTATTCTACACTTGAGTTCTAAGAGAAAGTCTGCAGCTCAGGATGTCTTTCAGATCTAGTAAGACTTGTGGACTGAAGGTGCCCAGGAATGCAGACTCCCAGGCACTTGGAGAGTTAGCAGGAGTCCTCCCTGTAAGGTCTGCCCAGGATGGGGATGTCCCTTAGATAAGGCTGACCCCTGGACCAGGCCTACGGGTTGTCCTAGAGCTAAGCTCCTCTTCCTTCTAAGTCATTTAGAAGTAGTGAAGCTTTTGGAACCTAGACTTTCAACTCCCTGTACATTCAGGGTCTAACATCTGGAAATGCTTCTTTTCTTTTTTTAGACAGCAAGTCGCTGTGTAGTCGAGAACTCGTGAGCTACCTGTCTCAGCCTTCCAAGCGGCTCTGATTTACAACCCTGAAAATGTTTCAAGTGTTTTGCTCTTTTTTTCTTTCTTCTTCTTCTTCTTCTTCTTCTTCTTCTTCTTCTTCTTCTTCTTCCTCTTCCTCTTCTTCTTTCTTTTCTTTTTCTCTGTTTCTCTTCTTAAGACAGGATCTCTCCATGTGGTCCTGGCATTCTTGAAACTTGCTCTGCAGACTACACTGGCCTCAAAGTTTCAGAAATCCACCTGCCTCTGCCTTCCAAGTGTTGGAATTAAAGCTATGCACCATTGCACTTGATTTAAAAATATTTCTTGTGCTATCATACTAATAGCAATTTCTGACTTTGAAGAACTTTCTAGAAATTTCTAAGCCAAATTATAGCCCAACTGCTGGTAATCCTTGTTACATTAAATAACTTTTTTTTTTTTTTTTGCTTGCTATTTGGAGCAGACTTGGGGTTTTATTTTATGAAATTTTGTATTAACTTTGTGTGTGAGAGCAAGAGTGTGTGCATGTGTGGAGAGAGAGAGAGAGATAAGTGTATGTGTAAAAAAGAAAGTGTGTGTGTATATGTGTGTGTGGAGAAAGACAGAGAGAGAACATGAGACTGTGTGAGTGGGAGGGGTCAGGACCCAGGTTGCCCCAGCACACACATGGAGATCAGAGGTCACCTTCACATAAGCTCTAGAGACTGAACTTGGATCACCAGGCTTGAAAGCCAAGTAGGAGCCTTGACCTGCTGAGGCATCTTTCTACCTTGTGTTTCCCTCTGGAACTTTTTGCTCGTTTGCTGAGACAGGGTCTCAGTGTGTAGCTCTGGATGCCTGGATCTTCCTATGTAGACCAGGCTGGGACAGAGAATGTCACTCTGTATTGTCATGTTGACCACCACGCAGCTTTCTGTCCTACCCTCTACTCTGTTGTGGAGTAGACGCCAGGTGTATCCTGTCCAGGCACGTACGAAACCAGGAAGTTCACACACATCTGGGAACCATCTCTGCAACCACGACACTTCCAAATTCTTCCAGTTCCAGGATTTTGAAACAGTATCATGAGCTAATACGTATCTTGAGAGAACTCCAGAATCGTGGGTTTCCATGATGTTCAAAGGAGCCTAACCCTCCCCTCGGGTTAGGCTCATGTGCCATTCCCTTCCCCTGAAAACACCCAGGTCTTCTCTCTTGGCACTTCCACATGTCACTCTGAATCAGCTGGGCTCTCTCTTCCTCCCAGACCAAAGTTTCCTCCATGTTCATCCCCATCAAGGACCAAGCACTCACTAAGAACTATTCAGAAACCAGTTGGCTAGACAGAAATCTCCCTGTGTTAAGAAAAAAAAAAGAGTGGCCAACTCTCCCCAAATCTCTCACTCTGGGAAGGGACCCAAGTGATGAGAAGTAGCCAGGGAACAGTTGCACTCTGACGGTAACAGTCAGTTCAGCCAGGGCTGGAGAGCTGTCCCCCAGCCTGGCAGGTGAAAGGGCAGCTTTTCAGCCAGCAAATCTCGACCACAGAGACTGGCTCAGGCTCTGAGCTGAGGCCCAGAGCCAGAGAATACGCAGGACAGTAAGGTGGTCTCTGGTCTCACAGAGCTCTGAGGGTGGGGAGGAGTCAATGGAAAGAAACTTTTAAAGGAAGAGAAGGTAGCAGATGAAGTTACAGGATGGCAGGGGGCGGAATGAAAAAGGCCTGGGCCGTTAGTCCAGGAAGGTGGGGCTTGTGTGGCAGCTGTCTGTCTGCTCTGTCCCCACAGGCTGAGGGCTATCGCTGCAGGCAGCCCAGCAGTTCCTGCCCACACCTCTATTCCTGACTCCCAGGCCCATGCAAGCATCTCGTGAAGGCCATGCCCATGTGAGTACCGTCCTACACCCTCCTCATCACTGTCCAGACCTCCCTTTGCCCCATGCAGCCTGGTTAGTCACCCAGTGGCCTCTTGAGGCCCCTCAGAAGCAGTCGGAGAACGAGATGCAAGGTGCGTTTACCTTCCAGAGCTGGGGGGAGACAACCGGTTGCTTGATAAGCTAAGCAAAAACAGTAAATGGAATCATTAGGCCCAGAAGCAAGGAGAGGAGGAGGCAAAATCAACAACAGTCACCAAGTATTAATCGGCCACCATCTGAGGCTCAAGGGCCTTTCTATTAAAAGGGACCAGCTGTCTTAGTTGGCGGCTCCTGTTAGCAGCAAGTGTCCTCACCGCTGGACACCAATAGATCTGAAACCAAGAGCTCATTAAAGGCAGCAGAGTCCAGGAAGTCGGTTAGGCAGAAGGGAGGTCCCTGGGGACTGTGCTTGAGAGAAAGGTGTACGTCAGGCAAGAGTTGCTTTCCCCGGAGGGAGTCAAAGCCTGTTCCCCCGCCCACAGCATACCTGACCTGGGTAGCTGCTGCTTCAATTCTTGCCTTTGAGAAAGAGCAGCAGCATTCCTAGAAATCCCCGAAAGGGCCGGGCCCTCGGAGAAGACAGGTGGCTCTGAGAACACCCACCATTAATATGTTAAAGTATGGTTAAAGAGCAAGGCAAATCAGCTGGGAGAGCGAAGGGGAGGAAAACGAAGCAGTTAATTGGGCAGGAGCTAGAGAAACCCAGCTCCCCAGAGCCAGCATCCCATCCTGCTTAGAGACCTGGGGCACAGACTAGCGCCTGCATCCTCTGAGGAGTGAGGCCCACACGGAAGTGGGGTACCAGTGCTGTGGTGTGAGACATCCTTGACCTCTTCCTCCAGGAGACCTCAGGTCTTTGGAAGATGGCAGGAACCATCCCACCCATACTCACCCCTTCCTTCACCTCACCCTTCTTTCCAGCACCTGTAGCCTGCTTACTGGCACTCAGGAAAGCGTGCGATTCCGTCTGTTGACAATTCACCAGCTTCTCTTTCATTGCACCTGGGTTTGGGATGCCACCAGCATTCTTCCAAATGCCTAAGCTCAACACCTGCCAACTCGAACTCTTTTTTTCCCCTGCTGCACAACTCCAACCAACGCTTTTCTCTCTTTCTCTTACACGTTATCCTTACTGTGATCCGATCTACATCCTGCCAGTTACACACTCCCCTACACACACCAACACATGATCTTCTCCTAGGCTGTTGTTCGGGTTTGGTTTGGTTTTTGTTACCCCGTTTGCTCGTGGGGTTGGTTTGGAGGTTGGGGGGACAGAGTCTCATGTAACACAGGCCAGCTTCGAACTTACTGTGTAGCCCAAACTGGTTTTTGAATTCACTCACGGCGATCCTCCTGCCTCAGTCTCCCAAGTGCTGGGATTACAGGCATATACCAGCATACCTGGCTTCACATACTACTCTGTAGAATATGCTGAGACGTGTCCTCTGCAAGGATGTGCAGATTCAACTTGAGGTCAACACCGACCCTCCCTTCCAATGTGCAGCAGCCAAGCCCTCCCTAACTGGCTCGGCCACATCCAGGCTATCAGTTCTCTTTCCTCCTGCACAGTTAAACCCCGCTTCCACAGCCTCCAAATCTACGTCTTTTTGCAGCTTCTCTGGCTCTTCACAGAGTGCTAGGCACACAGTGGGTAATCATGACGGTTTTTATGAAGAGAGAAGGAGAAAGGGGGAAGGCTTCTCAAACAGGAAGGGTCCTGCCCCACCTCCCCCCAGAGGGAGCTGCCGCTCCAGTCAGGGAAGGCGCACACACCGCAGGTGCCTTTGCTCTGAGCTTTAAAAATCCTCTGGGGGCGTTGTGGGCAGACTCTGCCTTAGTTCCGAGGTACTGGCCAACTCTCTCCTTTCCTGACCACAAACTGCCTTTGTCCCTGTCCTTGGCATTGAGAGTTTTCCCCCTTGAGTCTGGACCTCCTCCCTAGGAAGGAGAGGCTTGGGGCCAGCTTTCTAATTTACAACGGAAAATGACAGGTTCCACCTCCACCTCGTGGGCAAGAGACAGCGCTGGGGACAGAGAGTCCTCTCCACATCTCTTGGGCTGTTTGCATAATTTTGCCTCCTGGTCCCCCGTCTCTCAACATTACCCTTATGTGTTGGTTTGTTAAGGTTTATCTTTTAAGATTTTATTTATTATTTGTTTGTTTGCTTTCTTGCTTGTCTTGTTTTGTTTCGTTTCAAGACAGGATTTCTCTATGTACCCCTGGCTGTCCTGGAACTCGCTCTGTAGACCAGGCAGGCTGGCCTCGAACTCAGAGATCCACTAGGCTCCGCCTCCTGAGGGCTGGGATTAAAGGTGTGAGCACCACCATTGCCCGGTCTATTTTTATTATTTTAAAATTGTGTGTGTGTTTGTGTGCAGGTGCCTTCGAGGACAGAGACATCAGATCTGGAGCTGGGGTTACAGGCAGTGGTGAGCCACCTGCTGTGGGTGCTGGGAACTGAGACCTGCTCCTCTGAAAGAGCAACACCTGTTCTTAACAATCTCTCTGGTCTGATTTCTATTATTTTTAATTTTGTGTATGGGGTGGGGAGGATATGCAGATGTGTGCAGACACAGTCACAGGCCAGATGGTCTGCTGGGGCCTAGCTGACTAGAACAGAGGAGCTTCTGGGTGTGTGGAGGGTGGGCCGAGCCATGGGGCATCAGACACATCTAATGTTGGAGCCGAAGGGCTTTAGAGTTCTTGCCATGCTCCCACTGCAGAACAGGAATTTGGGACCCAGAGAGAAGAGCCCTAGGAGAATCCGGACAGGCATGGAAGCTGGGTGCCTCCCATCCTGCTGCTTTTTATCTATCCTGGGACATAAAAGGCTTCCAGAAAGTTCTGGCCCAGTGCCTTACTTTCCCTAACATCCCAGACAACCTACCTTACCCAAGAACAGCAGAGCCTGCGTCACAGGTCTGCCGCTCCTACGAGCCCACCAAGGAGCAGGGCCTTTGTGAAACAAGAGGCCAGGGACCTGCTAGTCAGTCATTATTGCTTACTCTCAGCTTTAAAGTACCGTAGCCTGCCGGGGTGCTACCCTCCTCGAGGGGTGAGGTCCTCACAGCTGGATGAGCAAAGAAACTGTCAATCAGATGGCACAGCCAAGAGGGAGTGTCCGCCTCTGACCTCAGTGAGCCCTGGAAGAGCCTTGAACTGACTTGAGACTAGAAACCCCTCCAGGGACCGTGGGGCAGGCAGGAAGTATAGGATACATAGAGATTCCGGAGCCCCAGCCACATGGCAATCGTCCATAGTTCCCACAGAAAGCCCAGCCTCAGAACCCTTGGGAGGGACCCCTTAGGAGCCCCACAGGGGGGCTGGAGAGATGGCTCAGTGGTTAAGAGCACTAGCTGTTCTTCCAAAGGACCTGGGTTCAGTTCCCAGCACCTACTTGGAAGCTTACAACTGTCTATAACTCCAGTTTTATGAATTCTGACACCTTGCATACCAATGCACAGAAAATAAAATTAAATAAATGATTAAAAAAAGAAAAAGCTCCACAGTGAGCAGGGTATCCCAGCACTTGGGAGGCAGAGGCAGGTGGACCTCTGCGAGTTCCAGGCCAGCCTGGTCTACAGAGCGAGCTCCAAGAGAGTCAGGGATACATAGAGAAACCCTGTCCCCCCAAAACAAACAAAACCAAAAGGTTTCACAGCAGACTCACAGAAAGGCACACCCAGAATATAGTAGAGCCAAAACGAGTAAGGGCAGAACTTGCCTCTCAGCCAGGACCCTGGGGTAGTCAGGCCTCAGCTGGCCTGGAGCTGGACACAGCTAGGAGAGTCCTCAGGGGACCCCTGTTCTTCTTTGTTCCTTGGGCTCTCTCCACCCCCACAGGCAGCAGAAGCAGACTGGGAAGCTCCTCCTCCAGCACAAGACAGACCTTCCCACAGTCCTGGAAACCGCCCCCCCCCCCCCCCCCCCCCCCCCCCCCCCCCCCCTGGCACCCCCCCCCCCCCCCCCCAGAGCCCACTTCACCATCCTTTTTGGCCATAGGCTCTTCCAGAAGCCAAGCAAATCTGGCTGCTCTTGTCAGGACCCGTGGGGGGTCTGTAGCCAATTGGCAGAAGGTGGAAAAGTCCAGGAGGAAACTGTCCCAAGTCCAGGACTAGAAAAAAACGTCTCTCCCACTTCTCCTGTCCGGAGCCTTCAGATACCCAACAAGAACAGCCTTCTAACAGCATCCCCATTAAGGTCCAAGGACCCAAGCCAGATTGGCTGTTTTTTACTTCCAGCCCTCCATCTGGCACGCTATGTCTAACCCAAACTCCACCAGGAAGCAGCTCCATGCCCCAGCCTCCAGCCCTGTTCCCAACAGCCCAGATCCTGAACCCGCTCCCCTCTGCCTGGCTCTCAGACCGTTCTTTCTTCCCTCCCTCCACTGCTACATCTCCAAGAAGAACCCTGCTTCCTCTTCTTCGCCTTGTTCCACTGGCATTGACAGAGGCCCGACACAGACAGAAGCAATGCCTGGATAAGTCATGGGGCCAAGGAGGTAAGGGTCAAAGTCATTGAGACCAAGTGAGCTAAACGTGAGGCTCTTTACGTGGGGAGGCAGCTTCACGGAGGACTACACAGGCAGAGACCATCACTGGGGGAAGTGGTGCTCCACCATAACTCCCAGCAGCCCCGGAGCCTGGTAGAGTCTGACTCAGTCACTAACACCAGCCCTCAGAGCTGCCCCAAACATGTGACACCATTTGCCGAGTTTTATGCAGAAACAGGTTCCGGTTACATTTGAACTTTTCCAACTCCAAGGTCAATAGGACTGAGGCGATCCAGGAGGAAGTGCCCAGGACTTTTCCTGACTGTCCTTGGTGTCTGTTTTTGTGCTCTTTTTTGAGCAGACGGCAGAAATCTGGAGATAGTGTCTCAGAGAAGCACAACACACAAGCCAGATTCTGGCACTAAGAGGTGAAGCCTATTCCAAGGGCCACCCTGTCACATTTCCCTTTGGAAAAAAACGGGCCCAAGAGCAGAGGGAAGCCGAGCTGCCCACAAAGGGCAGGAGGTTTCTGTCTCTGGGGCAATGCACTCATTCTTGAGTGCCTGCATCTTTGAGCAGAAAGCTTTCCTATTGCCTGCGTATCCTTGTAACGAAGGACGGCAAAGCTCCTGAAACAAAGCCTTCAAACTTCTTTCACTCCAAGAAGTCCAAGGAAGGAGTCTTTCTACCTCTCCGGCGGCATCTCAATCCCCACTTGGTCTCCACTGGGCAGAGCAATTGACTCCCTCAGAGCTTCAAGCCTTAGCTAGATCCCTCCCCTGGTTTCCTGGACAGGGCCACCAGCCACCTCCTGGCACCCCTTCCTCTCAACCAGACACAACACGGTGCTGGAAGGCCAAAGCCCTAGGCCCCGGGGAGGAACTTCAGTTATCTCAAGGCTGATCTCTGTCTCTCAGAGCTAAACAGCCTCCACTGGCTACCCCACACCCACCCACCAGCAGCTTCCCCTCCTCTGAAGCCTGAGGAATTTCAGCCACTCCGGATCTCCTTATCACTAACTGTGGAATTCAGCCCTGGGAGTAGCCCGGTGTGGGTGAGGGAGATAAGGAAAGCCTTCGTGCCCCTGTAAAATCATCCCAAACCGGGCTTTTCTCCTCTCTCTGGCCACACATTTGAGGCCCGCTGGGCCTCAAGAGGTCAAAAGGGTACAATAAGGGTCCCTTCTGGCCCGGTTCTATCCCCAGAACTCAGGGCCTTGAGAAAGTTTGAGGGCACAGGCGTCACCAGGGTTCCAGGGCTTCGGGGTGCGCTTGAGAACCTGACCACACCGGGCCACCACCCAAGGAGCAAAGAAGCAACCGTGGGCAGGAGTAGGGGGGGCAGGGGGGCAACTCACCTAGTCTCCGGCCGCACACTGAGCAGGTAGCTGCGACTGGCTGGGCCAGGCGTCCACACCGGCCCATTGTCCTCGCCATCGCCACCGGCCCCTGCCCGTCCACCCAGGCCCCAGCCCCGGCCCTCGGCCCTCCGCGACCCCATGGCACCGCTGTGCCTGCCTCCAGCCCCGGCTCCTGCCCGCCCGCTGACGCGCGGGCCCCTATTTATAGTCCGGGGCTGCTGTCACCTGCTGCTGTCCCTCCCCCAACCAGCTCGGCTCTAAAGCCTGACCAGGGAGAGCCAGGGAGGCCTGCAGAGAAACGCTGCGCATGCCAGCTCTGGGACAGAAGGATGGGTGCTTAGAACCCCGGGCTGCGCCATGCCGCAACCTTCTTCTAGCTCCTTTCCAGTTTTCAGAGAAACTTGTAGAAAAAGGGCAGCGAGGAGATCCTAGGACAGGGGGAGAGAGATCCTGAAAGTGGCCCCACTGACCTCCACCTGGCCAGGGGTTGTTAGACAAACTTAGACACCTCAGACAAACACTGTCACCCCTATCAGCGACCTCCCTCTGTCCAAAGGAGCCCAAAATTTCTGGGTACACATTCTGTCTGTCCCCAGGAACCCTTACCAGCATCTAGCATATATTAGTGGCTCAACAAAGGCTTCTAGAATAATCCAACCTCTTCCCCTTCAGGCTCCATTTCCTAAGGTCAGAAGGGGGAAATGAGCCAAGTCCTAATGCCTAGAAAAATTATTATATCCTTCAACTTTCCAGAGCAAGCTGCCAAGCGCCACTTAAACCTGGCGCTTACTTTTGGGAGTGACCCCAGGAGGTTTATCTGTCCCTGACCACAGACCCAACCTGTGCCAATTAAAGGTCTTTGCCAAAACAGCCTTTTATTCTCTCTCTCTCAGCCCTGGCTTTAAGGCAAGTGCTAGGACTACAGGGGTATGCCATCATTCTGATTTACCAAAACATTATATACATATATGTGGGTATGTATGTATGTGTACATATACATACATATATGTATATATACATACATAGATATATATATATATATATACATACTTATATATACATGCATACATATATACATAGCATTCAACCAGTTGGAAGAGGCAGCTGAATACTTGGGTGAAAGACCTGTGACCCTCCCCACATCTTCTTCAAGAGTCAACAAGCCCAGCTGAGATGATCTTTTGCCAGCAGACATGGCTGACCTGATTAAGATGGTGGCAGTTTGGTTTGGACGGCACTCCTACATACAGCAGGGCAACTCCTGTCTTTCCACCATAAAGGGCCTGGAGATAAAACTCAGGTCATCAGATCTGCTTGGCAGCAGAAACTGTCTTTTTTTATGTTAACATCATTTCCTTCCATTTTCTTTTCTTTCCTTACTCCAAACTCTTCCTTGTACTCCCTCTTGCTGTATTTCAAATTTATGGCCTCTTTTTCTTTAATTATTGTTACATCCATGTGTGTATATATATGCATTCCTAAACACACATAAATGCACTCTGCTTGTTCTGTATGATATCACCTGTATGTGTTTGCAGGGATGACCATTGGTATTGGAGAAATCAGTTGGCACTCTTCCCTGGGGAAGGCTGTTTGTCTTGCTCTTGGCATTCCTTACTTGCCTGGAGGTTTTTGTCTGTTTTTGAGGCCCTGTGAGATTCCCCCCTTCCGTGTTAGCATCTTCACTTGTGTCCTCCTTGTTCAGGCCATGTTTGGGCAGCCATGCTGGTGAGACCTCATGTCTATAAAGCTTCTGACATTTCTAGAAGACACGGTCTTAGAGAAGCTTAGTGTTCCTCTTTCTACCCCTTCTCTTCAACAATGATCCCTGAGCCTCAGCTGTAGGAGTTGTGTTATGACTCCAGGCCCCGTTCATCTTTGTTCTTGGGTCTCTGGGGGTACTGGGGTGAAGATCCCTCTAGCCACAGCACCAGCCTTCAAATATCTGCCAACTTCTGTGAAACTTTGGGTTTCTTGTTGGGATCTTTTGAGCGCTCATATGTCAGGCTAGGACTGAGGTCTCATGACTCCAGCCGCCAAGAAGCTTACAATATAGTAAGAGAGATGAACACGTAAGACACTCGCTGCAAGGGTCAATGCATGGTTGCAGAACTAGAGAGAGGGGCATAAAAGCATAGAAAGACAGTGGTTACTTCTGCTGGGGGAAAACGGAATATTTCACACAGAAGCAGCAGTGTGCAGGAATACAGAAGATACGCATGTCACCCACATAGAAAGGAGATGGAGAAGCAGAGAGGCAGTCACCAGGCAGGAATGGAGCCTGAAGGCCTAGTTTAGCACGCCGTGGGAACAGTCTAAAACTTTTCAACATGAGCAACTGTTTCCCTACGTTTTCTGGGCTTCTAAAGTCCTCTCTATGCAAAAGGCACAATCTATAAAATGTTTTTGAGATTTAGTTATTTTTTTTAATTGCTTGTCTGTGTGTCTGTATACTATGTGAATGCAGTGCCCACTGAGGCCAAGAGAGGGCGTAGGATACCCTGGAAGTGGAGTTACAGACGGCTGTTAGCCACCTGTGGGTGCTGAGAATGGAACCCAGGGCTTCTGGAATAGTCAGTGCTTTTAACCACTGAGCCATCTCTCCAGCCCGGAGAGGCAAAAATCTAATCCTTTTTTGTTTGGTTTAGTTAAAACTCATCTTTCTCATGCTGCCCTTCTTTCTTGTGATCTGAAGATTTAAACAGGCGTTACTTCATCTAAGTCCCTGAGGATGGGGCAAAGCCGATCATGGGGTGTCAGAGAGCTCCAGGGATGGAGAGATAGGGAACTCCTGTCCCCTGAAGTTTACAGTCCACCAACAGAAGGGAGAGCATGCACAGTGTTGTCCAGTTGCACTGGCTTAGGTCCAGAGAGTAACGCAACTTCCCAGAGTGGCTTTGTGACTGAGGGTGATATCCTTGGACTCCAGTTTTTCTCTGTAAAAGGGAGTGGGCAATCTATTTGTGATCTTTGACCTTTTGCTTGTTCATTCAGAATGCAAGGAGGTTTTGCTTGTTTTTATTTGCTTGTGGTGTATGTGTGTGTGTGTTTATTTATTTTTTTTAATGTTTATTGGTGTTTTGACTGCATGAACTTCATGCCTGTGTATCATATACATGCAGGGCCCTTGGAGTTCAGAAGAGGGTATCTGGTTTCCTGGAAGTGGAGTTACAGGAGGTTGTGAGCTGCCATGTGGGCGCTGGGAACCAAATCAAGGTCCTCTGGAAGAGTAGCCAGTGCTCTTAACTGCTAAACTATCTCTCCAGTCCATTTGTTTTTTTGAGACAAGGTCTCACTGTGTACCTCAGGCTGGCCTGGGATTCATGAATCCTCCTTCTCAGCCTTCCAAGCGCTGGGATGATGGTTGTGCACCACACATGGCTCTTCAGCAGATTTTTTTCAAACAGTCATAATTAGCACACGTCAGGCTTTATGCCAGATGCTGAGGGTACAGAGTCAACGCTATAGTCTGTCCTTGTGAGTCTCTCAAGCATGAAGGAAAAAAAACAGAATCTCCGTAAACTCACTGCTGGAGCTTTGTAGGTGGTGCTGAGAGCCAGCAGGAGCAGGGGCTCTGGCTTTGTCCTAGGAGACAATAGTGCGAGCAGCAGTCAGTGCTTGCTCTTAGGAATGAATGGTGAGAGAGGGCAGCCTGAATTTGTTGTGGGTGCCACGATCACCTTTCCTGGTGTCTCTGTGTGTGAGTGCATACGGGTATGTGTGTGTGAAACCAAAAGCCAATGTCAACTAGCTTCCTCAATTGCTCTCCATTTCTTCTGTTTTCTGAGACAAGGCTTCTCTCTCCATCCCTTGGCTGCTCTGGAACATTCTCTGTAACCCAGGCTGGCCTCAAACTCAGAGATCCACCTGCCTCCTTGTCCCCCAGCGCTGCCACCACCTGGCTGCTTTACTGTTTGTTTTTTTTTAATATTTATTTATCTTTCCCAGCACTCGGTGTCTGTGTGGGCACAGGCATTTCCACGATGTGAGTGCAGGTGATAGAACAATTTGAGGGAGTCAGGTCTCTCCTACCATGTAGGGTTCCAGGGATCGAGCTTAGTGTGTCAGGCCTGGCAACAAGCTTTTTATGTGCTCGGCTATCTTGCCAGCTTCTCACTTTATTATTGGTTTGAGGCAGTCTGACTACTCCTGGCTGGACTGGTGCTCGCTACATAGAGCTGGACTTGAATTCACAGAGGTCCACCAGCCTCTTCCTCCCGAATGCTGGGACTGGAGGTGTGTGCCACCATCCTTGGCCTCCTCTCTTTAGTTTTTTGAGATCAGGTCTCTCCCTGATCTTAGAGCTGCCTGATTCAGTGCACCCCAGAGATCCTGCTCTTTCCAGTACTGGGATCCTAGAGACATACAGACCAGTAATCCCAGCATTCGGGATGTCGTAGCAAGAGAATCGGGAGTTCATGGTCATTCTCAGCTATAAATCAAGTTTGGGGCCAGCCTGGGCTACAGGGGACCCTGTCTTAGAAAAGAGAAGGGGGCTAGAAGATGCTTCAACAGTGTCAAACACTTGCTGTTCTTAGAAGAGGGCCAGGATTCAGTACCTAGCACCCACACGGTAGCTTACAACCATCTGTAACTCCAGTCTCAGAGATCTGATGTTTTCTTTTGTTTTCTACCAGCACCAGGCACATACACAGTGCACATACATACCTGCAGGCAAACATTCACATGCAAAATATAAACAAAAGAAAAAAAAAATACCTAAACCCCCAAACAGAACAACAGCCATAGCACACTGAGTGCTGCTCACCAGGCTCCAGTCCCGCCGTCACCCTCTCTGGTGACTCAGCCTGGCAGCAGGTAACTGACCTTGTCCTCTCGGGGGACCTTCACCCTCCCTTCCCTTTAGCAAGGCAATTGACTGCCTGGCACTCCAGCATTGTCACCAGGGATTCCTCTGCCTCTAAAGTGCCAGCCCATTATCCTTCCCCCGCCCGCCCAGGCCTACACTTGTCTTTGGGAACAGCTCTGAACCTCCCTTCTCCAGTCCCTGTGCTCTTTCATTTATTCTTTATCCCCCCCCTCCCACCCCCCATCTCCACACACATAGGAACATAATGTTCAGGGAACGGACGGACGGTAACTTCACCTGTGTGCTGGGTAGTTTCCTGCCAACTAGACACAAGCTGAAAG